AACAGAGATCAGCACACTGCGGCCCTCCCTTGGCCAAAGCCAGCCACCACCGTCTCTGTAGATAAAGCATTATTGGAACACAGCCCATTCGTTTGTTTACCCACTGTCTACGGCCGATCTCATGCTATTAGTGCAATGGAGTTGAGTAGTTGTGACAGACTATGGCCCATACAGCCTAAAATGTTTGCTACTTGGCCCTTTACAGAAAAAGCTTGTGAACGTGCTTTGGCGGCCTTCTCTTGGGGGCCTCTTCTCCCCCTCTCTGTCCTCTCACCCTGTCTCCCTTACAGATACTCACTGCTCTTTAGTTTTTAGTTTCTTGACCATTCTCTCTCCAGAGCCTTCCTGATTCTTGCTGTCATGAGGCAGAGCTCACCACCACCATGAATCAGCTCTCCTTACCCCCAGACAGACCCTAGCTCTTAACACTATTATTTCATCGACTATGTTTGTGTTCAGGTCTGTCCAGCTCATTGAATTGTAAGCTCTTAGAGGGCAGAGACCATGTCTCTTTCACCTTTGTAGCTGGTCCAGGGTCTGGCCCAGAGCCATAATTTTAAGTAAAGGAATGAATAAATACATGTTTAGAATATATCAAGCTCATACAATGCACCCCGAATGAAACTAATCCTGCAAATGAAAATCATGTTACCACATGGACGGTCCCTGACAAGTATGAGCTCTTGCCCCTGTTTCCATGGCAGCAGAGTTTTCTGAGGGATGGGACCATCTTTGCTTTTCTAAATTTCCCATTTTAAGGTTTTATAACCTGTGTGGTCCCTGCCATGATGACCAGGCACCCTGGGTAGGTGTGGGCGGCTCTGTGCAGTCAGTGTGGATTCCATGTGTTACTCTAGGGCACAGGCTCTGTAAGAGGCATCTGAACAAAAATACCTTCCTTGCATATTCCACCAGTGAGAGATTCTTCCAGTTCACTCTTGAGCAACACTAATACCCTAGAGGGGGCTGGGGTCCAAAGTCTGTCACTTAGGGCCAGTTGCTCTAAGAGATTAGGTCCTTGCAGCTGTTCAGAGAGTAGGATGTGGAGTGAGTTGGGAGAGGTGGGCTATAATGAAAGAGGAGGGAAGGGCAGAAAAAGGATAAACACTATATTTGGGTCTTGAACTAATTTTCCAGGCCAAATGTAATTTCACTAGCACCCTCTCTTGGAAAACTTGGTGCCTCTTAGATATTTGATCTGGATTCTAACCTAAGGGGAAACAGTCCCTAAAGGAAAACATGGATTGTGGTTGAGAGGCCAATATGAGGGCAGTAGCATTAGCCTAGCAGAGCGATCAAGCCCCTACTGTGTCTGGAACTTTCCTCTGGCTTTTGGCCAGAGATGTCTGCTTCTCCTACGCCATCAGAATAGTCAGGTAAGAAAGGCACCAGGTAGCAAGTATTCTCCATCTGTTGGACTGAGACACTGCTTACCTGGGTTTCTTCCCTCATCCAAAACAAACCAGATCAAATATATAAACCATAATAAAATACAGCATAGCTCTACCAAACTGCAACAGAAGCTCATCTCCTCCTTCTGGTCTTGATTGTACGATCAGACGCATTGATTTCTACACATTGAACTTTATTGCTTAACACTGCTGAGTGGGGCTTCTGGGGCTCCTAGCACTGCTTAGAACAGACCACTCGGGTCTGGCAGGCATGGCTGGGTGGAGAAGGGGCTGTATTTCCCAGCACCTGAAGCAGCAAGAAAACCAGCCTGGCGGGAACACAGGAAGCAGCAACTACTTTTCCTCAGAGGGTTTTTCTGTTAGAGAGTGTATGTGTATGTGTATGTAAATATTTCCTCTTTACGTGTTCCTCACAAGGAATGGCCTGGGCTCCTCTGGAAGGTGTGGAGGAACTTCCATTAGAACTACAGCAGGTTCTCTTTCCTGAGAAATATCCCTGGGGAATGGAGTGGCTGTCATCCCAGGGACCAGCTGGTGGCCCTTGTGTGGAATGCGTCTATGGGTTACCTCAGGGCCGCTGGCTTTCCAACAAGGGCTGGGAAACCTTGCATGTGTGAGGGAGGGGACCCTCGAGGTCATTACTGGACACGGAGGTGGACTCTGGACTGGAATGTACAGATGCCATTTAAGCAAACTGAAAATCATCACTGAAGTGAGCTGTTCCATCGTAAGGTGGTGAGAAAGTGATTTTTATGGAGAAGCTCGGAAGACATTAGCAACCCTGTCAAATAATTCCTCAGCAGCTCTTGGTTTCCCCTTATTATGTTGCCTGTTAAGCACCACCAGCAAACTCCTCAGGGCGACCGTGAGGGGAGCTTCTCCTGCTCCCGCATTACTGTGAGGAAGTCGGCAGGGCAGGCTGTGGCCTGCTGGAGTGCTGCTGTCCCCAGGGTGCCTCTGAGCCTCACAGCTGGCCTTCCCTGATAGCACGCAGCCTCAGCTGAAGCCAGCCAGCACACCCTGTCCCCCAGAGAGACACCTTTGCAAAATGTGTTTACTTCATATGAGGGAATAATATTGGTTAAAAAAAAAAAATCCCCAAACCTTCTTGGTCTATATGTAGGAGTTACAAAGATCTTTCAAAACTTTCAGCCAAGAGAGACTTTTCATCCACCCGTGGTCCTGTTCAACCAAGATGGTGGAAGAGTTTGCAGCACAGAGAAAGAACTCTAGCGTTCACTTTCTGGGTTTATTCCATCCCTTACATTTTTGTTTTCTGTAAATCCCATGAAGATCTTACCAGGAAATCTCTTTAGTCAAGATACCATTTGGAACCAAACAGATAACCAAGAGGCTGGATCTAGTGTTGTATGTACAATGATTCTTTATAACACAAAAGGAAAATTAAAACTAGACCGAGTTTTCTGTTCTGCAGCATATGAGAGAAATTAAGATTTTTAAAAGATGACACAACACACTTTAGAACCGTCTTGCAATAGGGGCCTTTACATTTATACCCAATTGCTGATAAAACTCAGCCCTATAGTTGTTTTCCTTTGTCATTCTAACATCTTTTATCATTTATCCTGAAATCTTAGGGAAAAAAAAAAATCCAAAATACAAAGAATTGAAAAAAACCTTTTTCCCCCCCCCAAAGTAAATAGTCCCATGAAATAGTAGGTCTTAGGCCTCAGTGTGTAAGTACTGAGTTTGGAGGGCCTGGTAATAATCTCTAAGAGGGCAGTGACCTATTAGCAATACATTTTTAAAACAAAACTAAACCACAACCTGTACAGAATGTTATCAAAGCCTCAGGAACAGAGCATACATGTTTTACGAATTGGCTGGAGAACCATCCTTCTTTTACTAGTTAACATACTGATGAGCATCACCATCCTCAGGAACAAGGACAGACTAACACTAAGCAGATGAAAGGGCTGTTTTGGAAACATCCTGTCCCAGGTAGCTGGCCACAGTGGCCCTGCCCTGTGACACGGCTTCTCTTTTGGTCATCCTTGCTTGGTGCTTTCTCTAGACTTGGGCATTTGTGTTAAAAATGTGGCACAGCACCCTCCTACCCCCTTTTATTTCCTGATTCTTTTGTTGCCTTGTTGGTAAACTGCAACTGTGTGTCTGGGGTGAAAAAACAAACCAACCAATCTACCTTTGAGGTCTTTTCCAGGGCCATGAGTGCGGCATGAACAAAGGTCACTGAAGAAGCAGGAAGGGTAAGTTAACTGGGCCCTCTGCTGTGTGTGTATGTGTGCACGCCTCTGTTAACTCACCTGAGCTCTGTCCCCATATGGAAATGACCATAGGAGGCTTAGTCTGCTGGTTGCAAGAGGTTTTCCCATGTGATTGTTACCCTAAACAATGACGGGTTCATTCTCTAACTGAGGTTCAGCCACTTTCAAAGCACACACAAAGGCCCCTTAGTTTGAGATTAACTCTGAAAACGTCATTGACATTTTCATGCATTGGACACGTGATACCTTCCAGGAGCTCGTGGGTCCAAACACTATCACAGACACCACAGACTGCTCAACAGCTTGTGTTAGGGAGTGGTTCTCTTTCCTATTCCCAGAAGTATCGCACCCATACACACAAACCCACATCTGAGCATGTCTCCTCCACAGGCTGAAAAGAACGCCTCTTGGAATGTCAAGCATGGCTATAAAAGGGCTTCCCATGACAGTGATCACTGAATCACGGGGAATAAAGCTAGAAGGCAAATTTGCAATTCATCGCCTTATCCCGTTGTCGCAAATGTGATTCTTTTAAAGGCAGCCTGCACAGACACTCTTTTGAAGTAAGTTTTTTCTTCTTGTAACGCATTGTATACTCGTTTTTTTGCAGAATATCCAAATGAGGATAAAATGATAAAAATTACAATAGATTAATTGCATCCCTTGCATCACATTATATTTTTGGTGCACTAAAAAAGGAGAAAAGTAAAAGCAACCAGCATCATAAATCCGGCCTAGAGAACTGTGTTAGTGACTGAAGGGTTAACACAGATTTTAGAAGTAGTTAAAAATAGTATTAGAGGATTATACACACAAGTTGGAAATTCATATGCGTTGTATTTTTCTTTTTAAAAATGGCAAAATGTTTGGCAAATGTAAGCAAATGACTTAGACTGTGTTGGGTCTCACCGGCTCCGAGCCGGGTCAGTCATGGCCAGGTGAGGCCCACTGCTTCCTGAGGTCACTCTGCGGGGCTGGGGGAAGGTGGACGCCTGCTCCTGGGAGGTGCTGCCAGGGGAAGGGGAGGTGCTGGCCCCTCCACCTGGCCCCCCCCGCCTCAGGCCCTCAGTCTCGAACATGGAAATGGAGCTGGTGAGAGGTGCCACTTATAGACTCCAGCATGGATCACCCGTTAGCATCGCTGAGAGAACTCTGGGGCCTTGACCACATGCAGACTGGGTGAGGCGTCTACACAGTGACCCATATTGCAAGAGTTAGAGGAGTGTATCTTCCACCCCTCCGCCTTTCGTGCCTCCCACCCCCACACGGAGGGAGAGGGTGGCACAAGGTGTGTCACTAGTGCTTAATCTGGCAATGTTCTCAACTTGTGTTTTTTTTTTTTTTTTAGTAGACTTTTTAAAAAATGTTTGTTTTGTTTTGTATGTGTATGTATATCCAGAAATGTCCATCCTCCAAGCTGGCCACCACTGTTCCCTGAATTTGGCAGTGCCTGTTGCTTGCAGCTGTTGGCATCCTGAAAACCATGAGGTGCCTTCAAAGCAGACTCTGCGGCCAGCAGTGCGAGTGTCCTCCGGGACCTGCTGCACGTCAAACACACGATCCCATTCTCTCCTGATTCTGAAGCCTGTCTGGCTCTGATTTTGAGGAGAAGGACAAAGGTTGTGTGTGTGTGTGTGTGTTTGTGTGTGTATGTTGAGTTTTGGTTTTTTTTTTTTTTTTTGGAAACCATTTTTTCTTTTTTAAGAAAAATGACCCTTTGATCACTCATACAGAGTTCAGCCCTCTTTAGTCACTATAAAACGGACTCCATGTTCTCACACCACTCATGATCTTCCAGGTTATAGATAAACTTTGTCCTATGTGTCTGGTGTGCGGGCACAGGGTCCCTCCCCAGGTTGTCTAGGGTCAGAGTAGAGGCAAAGAACTCACTGGTGCTCAGCCCGCCCTCGTGGTTTTTGATGTAGCGTTTATAGTTTTTCCTCAGGCACTGCCACGTGGTGGTGTAGAGGACGAAGGCGAAGGACTTGAGCGCGATGGCGATGCTGACGTACAGGTATCTGTAGACCACGTTGTCGTAGAGGACGCAGGCGCCTTGCTCCCCGCAGAACGTGCTCCAGAACAGGCAGGTGGAGTCGATACCGGCCCCGAAGATGAGGGGTGGGGGGATGAAACCTGTTGGAAGGAAGAGAGTGGTAAGGTTCTGGCTCTGGTGGCTGCTTTGGTGACGTGGCGCCTCCCCTGTTCCTGTCCCTGCGTAGCTCTCCTGGGCTCGGGGGCTGTACGGCACAGCGGTCAAGACAGGCTTGGGAGGCAAACTGTGAGTTCAAACCCCAGCTCTGCCCCCCTTACTTACAAACAAACCCACACGTTATGTAAGGCAGCCTGCCTTGGTTTCCTCATCTGCAAAAATGGGGCCAGTACACCAGAGAGTTCCTTGCAGGGATTCTTTTTTTATTAAGGAAGGTCCCTCTGGGAATGAGATGAGATATAGACCCTGAGCCCAGAAAAATACACCTACCCACACAATAACACATTTCAGGGGGTTTGCAGGGCAGCCCGAGAGACGGAAGGTTTAGTGAAGGGCCGGGCGAGCAGATGGCATGATCCTGTCAGTGCTAATGAGGCTGCCTGAGCACCCCGTCCAAGGTGCCTTCGTTCTCCTTAGAACTCTCCAGCTCTGCAACTTGTTACCCCAAAGAAAAGCCCCCGATAAGAATTCTAGTTGAAACCTCATTCAACTTCCCAAAGCAGCTTGATCTAATAAGCTTCAAGCTCAAAATGCCACAAAACCTGCTCCCTTCTTTCCAGCTGCCAGGTCAGGCTGTGGTCCCGCCAAATGGAAAGTCGTATTCCTAGCATTCTCTGTGGCCAAAAAGGCAGCCCAGGTGTTTGCGACCCTCTCCACACCCTGACCCTGCCTGTTTTCTCCCTGCTCCCAACAAATGCCTTTCTTCTTTTCACTGAGAAAGAGCCAACTGGAGGAACTGCCATGGCAACCGCATAATAGAAACTCAGCCACACTCCACATTATTAAGGTAAAAAAAAAAAAATGGTGATTTGGAGCCAATTTAAATTATGGATGGAGCTGGGGATAAATGAGACTAATTTGGCTTGTTCCTGTGGCACAGTGGGACAATGCAAATCCATTCACCTTTCTATTTCTAGGCTTTTATTATACCATGATTACTGTTCCCAAATGCTACCCGTTCCTCGGTCTCTTGTGACCTTTCTTGAGGCCACTTCACTTTGTCCTGGGCACCGAGCAATGGGCAGCGAAGACCACAGAAACCATCTCTGCTGGTTAAATGCTTTGCCATGGGAAGGAACCGAGAGCACAGGTGCGCCTTGCTCCAAAAGGCATGGGTTCCTGGGGGCAAGTTCAAGTTCTGCGCGAGTTAGGTCATATTTTAAGCACGTTGAAGGAAATTTTACGACATAAAGAAACTGTTAGTACTTGTTTAAACCAAAATATCCCTCTAAAAGGCCAATGTGTATGTAACTCCTCCATGTACCTGGACCTGAGTGAGGATTTTTATAACATTTGGTTGTCTTTCATGTGGCGCGTACCTCTACATGCTGGAGATGCCAATTTTATCCTGCTGTTGTCAAGCTCCACTACCAGATGACGGAGTAAGAAAAAGCCTTTAAACAGTTAGCTAAGTGCCTCAGTTTCTACATCTTTAAAATGGAGTTCATCCCACCTGCTTGGTCAAGGTTAGAGTAAAACTCTTCACAAACGAGGTGTGTGACTATTTTGCAAAGGCCTGGCCCCTCTATGGGGCCAGAACTTTTGCTACCTTGTTCATGTCCGATAGGGAATTTAGGGTGATAGTTTAGCAAAAACTCTAGGTTGAGTCTCTCAAGTGTAACCTTTACAAGTTTCCTTTTATATTTCTGAATAGAGAAAATACTGGCTTGCTTTTCCACCAACTCCATCTTTTCTCTTTTATTGACTTACAGTTCTTTCCCAAAGGGGAGCTCTAGCCAGCAAGCCCTAGCTTCCAGGTCTGCAGAGAATGCTAGAGACAGAGAACTGATTGGATCTTTTTAGTTAGAGGCCTCTGCCATTCTGGAACTCACCTGATTAGTCGCAGGAGGGAGTCACACTCTAATGACTAATTTTCCTGCCTCGTCACTCATCCTTGTATGTTCATCATGCAGCTGGTTCTCCAGGGACCACCAGGAGACTTCTATAGTATGACAGCTGTAATGGTAACTACTACCAGCCCCACCCTGGGGTTATATAGGGTGATCTACGTCCATTATGAATCCCCTCCATAACCCACCTTATTTCACATAAAAAGAAACTGAGAATGAGAGATGTTGTTTGGTCCAGGTTTGGTATTTCAAAACCCAAACCCAATAATTCTCTTCTTTCTAATTCAAAGTTTGTTGAGTTGAGATGATTTTAGAGCTCTTAGTGGGGATTTCCAAGGCTACAGAGAACATTTTATTTACCTTTTGCTCAGCTCCTGGGAATAACTGGCTTTCAGAAGCCTGGTTTTGAAGTGTGCAGAGGGTGAAACAAACAGGGGTTCTGATCCTTGCAAAGCGGGAGCCCGCCCTTCTTGTTAATGCATAGAGAAGGCTGGGAGACTTATTTTGCAAACAAACTCCCAGTATTTGGCAGTACTGCACTTGTTGGCAGGAAGAGACACAGTTGTCGTGGTTGGCTTTTTTCCAGTGGGGAGCTCACAGCTGGAGGTTGCTTGGTTGGTGGGAGGAAACATAAATTCTGGAACCAGAGACAGCTGATTTTGGATTCTAACCCTGCCACTTGGGAACTGTGTGACCTCGGGCAAGTTGCTCAACTTTACTGAATCTCAGTCTCACTGTTGATAAAATGGGCACAATCATACCTTCTTCGGGAGCTTTCATAAGAATGAAATGAAATACCATCGGAGAAAGCCTTCACATGGTGGGCCCTCTGCAAACCCGGTTCCCTTCCTATTGTTTGGCTTTTGTCCCAAATCCCTTTGGATAAATGAAAATCTGCCCTCCTTTAAATCATCGCCTCTAGAGAAAGAGTTGTAGAAAACCTTTCAAGCCATGATTCAGTGAATAACCCCAACAGGTAAGAATTCTCCGTCTCATAAGAATAAATATGTTTTAGCGGATAACTGGGTGCTTCCAGCCAAGTCGGTGAGGTGCATCTAGTGTCTACTCCTGTTTTGAGCGTCTTCACTCTGTTACGTCCTTAGTGATAAGGGAGGGTGATGACGGTGTAGTGTTTCTTTAGAAATTGTGTATTTTGGAAGAATGCTTTCCTCCCTGGGGCCTGCAAGAGCAGTTCTCTCCCTTCCGTCTTCTCTTCTCCTGGGCAGAAACTCGGGGATGAAGGAGATGGTCATGGGGTCCCGACACTGGGAGCCCACTGTATGTTGGGGAGGATGTGTGCAGGGTCCGTGCTGTTCCGTGTTATTACAGAGAATATTAAAAGGAGTGTATCTTACTTCCTATTATACTCTGGCACAAATTGCAGCTATATATATTTCTATGGAAAAAATTGCAGCACTGCTTAAGAAAATTGTCTGTTTTTCTGAACTCTATTAACAGAGATTAAACCTCAGGGCCTTGTATCTCGGCTATTTAATTCACTCCCCTAGTTAAAAGGCTGTGCCCATTGATATTGTTTGGTCTAAACTTAAAAGGTGAACTGAAAGGCTTTTGTAAGAAAAATAAATTCGCATTCCTTTCTGGGACAAAATGGAAGCTGAAAATTACTCTGTCATTTACATTTTAAAAAGATATCTCTTCCTCTCCAGCTTACCTGGCAAGACTTGAATTCGCCATGGAATCTCTATTCAACCTGGTGGAATTACTATTATGTCCAGCACCAGCTAGAGAGGGGGATGTTGCAAAGTGTATTATCCCAAAAGGATGAATGAGTTTCTCTGCTCCAGCAATGCCACAAGAGAGACTGGACTGTTGACATCAGCAAGCATCTTCCAGGGACACCTGACATTCACTGTTTTAAATCTGAGAATCTGGAGGAGCTACATTCTCAGTTCAAGGGGTCTGGACCCCTTATTAAAGTTACAAAGGCTCAAAGGGCTTAAATGACCTGCCAAAATGGGCAGCAAAGGCAGAGCTGGACTCAAGACCTGGTGTGACTGACTGCAGAGGGATCCATGTAAGCATTCCATGTCACCTTAGCACAGGTAAGGGAAGCAGATCTGGGGTGATGCAGGTACATCAGGAGGTCAGGCACATTGCTGAGAGAGCCTGGCACACAGCTGGTGCCTAAACCATGCTTTCCAGATAAATCTGCTAGTGCACTGGTGAGTAGAGCGGGTCTTTCATGCATCCTACTTTTGTACCCTCTCCCTCTCACCTGGGGTCCCTGGGCATCCAAAGTATCATTTAACATGTTCATTTCTCCACTTGCCTGCACACTTCATGTTAGGACTACGCTCACAGCAGCTCAACACATGTTTGAACACATCAGGAGTTTCTCAGATGTACTTTCCTAGAGTAATTCACGAATCGCACAAGATCCGGGGACAGTCCGCTCAGAAATGACACCCGCATACAGAGACGCACCCTTAGGGTGGCCTTCCCAGTGCTTTTGCCTGGCAGGTGCTGGTGGGTGGCACCCTTGAGCCACCTGATTCATCGTGTCTGATATCTCATTCTATGAAAGGCTTCTCCATAGGCCTAGTCCCAGGGGCTCAACGCCTCACCCAAGCTTCTGCTGCTCCTCTTTTGCTTTCATCTAATCAGGTGGGGGGAAACAGATGCCGTCTCCACTCCATGGCTCCCATTTGTCTTTGCCTTTCAACCCCCTGTCCTACTCCTGGTCGGCTGCTTCTCACGAGTCATCCTGCCTGGCTGACCTCCTAGGCATTCTGCATGTATGTCCACTCCCCTATCTGAAACATTCGTGCTCCATGCTAGCAACTACTCAGCTTTCCTTGAAATTCAAGGTCCTCTATGACTCTTCTAAGCCTGCGCCTTCCCAACACTTGCTTCATTCTCCTGCTGGAGCCCCCCAAGGGAGGATATAGCACCTGCTCATTTGAATACCCTTTGGGGTGCCGCCTTGCACATGGAAGGGTCTCAATGCATATCTCTTTCCAGTAATCTAATTTAGTGCAATATCCATGGCACGTGGTAGACCCCAGAAGCAAGATTCTAGATCAGACCCACGAGCAGATGGTTTGCTCACAGCCCAGAGAGAAAAGCTGTGACTCAGGCCGTTTGCAAAAGGGGGAAGGAGGATGGACCCAGTGCACCAGGAGTCCTGCCACGAGCAGATCATTCACTCCACTCTGAATCGACTGACTTTCTCCAGCTCGGTGTCCTCCTGCCCTGCTCAACTTCGGCTACTGCCCTGGAGGACATGAACTTGTCCACGTGAGTCAACATCTTCGTCTTTGAATAACACGTTCTCAACATCAAGGCTGTTCCTCTCTGGCCAGACACACCCCGGGCTTCGCCATCTCTCAGAGCTGTTCCACCTCTGCAATCTCCAACTCAGACGAGGCGGCCTTTGGCCACAGGCTCCAGTTCTCCCTCCGTCCTCTCTACTTTCTCCTATCTCACCTCTTCCTTATGCAGCCAGGCCCCGTGGTCCACCACGGTAGCCCCAATTTGATCATCCTCCTCAACTTCTTTGCTCTACTCTCCCCCCGCAGACACTACCCTCCCTGCTTCTGCTCCTGGCACCATGTGCAGTCCTGCCCTGGCCCTGTAGTGCAACAAGGGAACAAAGCTGGCATTCGCTTCTACATTCCCTGCAGCCAAGTGTCTGGAAAGCGTGGTGCTGCCCACCTCTGCCGCTTCCTCACGATCTGGCCCTCCTGGGTGGTACTGTGGCAATTGCCCCTCTGTATTTGCACCGCCCAGTACCACAGCCACCTTTGGCTACTTATATAAAAACCAATAAAAATGAAAGTTTATGGAAGCCACATTTCAAGTGCACAATAGTCACATATGGTGCTGATATAGAACGTTTCCATCGTCACAGAAAGTCGCGCTGGTCTATACCTGCTCCCTATCCTGTCTCAATAAGAATTCCCCTGTTCATCACATGATCCAAGCCTTTAAACGAGTTGTCACCATGGGTGCTTCTCTCAGTGACTCCAATCCTTACACTTGGGGAATAAGCCTTGAAGGTTCCTCCTCCTCAACCTCTCTCCACCTTCCTCTCCCCATCCTGGTAGCACCCCATATTCTCATTCTCCACAGATGGGGTCCTTTCTAAAATATACAGTGGACCTTGTCAGTGGACCTTGTCATTTCCTGATTAAAGCCCATCAATGAGCCCATCCGTCTGCCTTAAAGATCAAACTCATCAACAGGGCATAAGCCCTTCCTGACCCACCACCCTCTTCAGCACCCCTGGTCCTGTGCACTCCAGACATGCTGTGGCCTCTGCTCACCCACTAAGCTTTTACCCCTCTGTCTAAAATACTCTTCTTCCTGCTTATCTGTATAACTCTTACTCCTTCCGCAGAGCTTAGTATAGACAGACATTACACCCCTTCCAAACCCACTGCTCCCATCCCAAGGCAAGGTTAGGGGGTCAATCCACGTGTTCCCATTGCACCTGTGCTGACTCTGTCATGGATCTTGTCATGTCCCCATTGTATCCCCATTACCTGTACACGGCCAGCATAAAGGTTGACAATGTCATGGAATCTGATGCCTTCACTGTCCTCTCATTAACCATAATGGTGGTTAATCTTACTGGGCGCTGCAAGCAATGGGATCAGGCCAAATGCCAAGACTTCTTTGATGAGCTGCTTTTAATTAAAAGATGAAACTGTACCACATCTTCCAGAGCAGGGTCTTCCAATCCCTGATTTGTGACCCATAATGGGCAATAAAATCAATATAGTGGGTCATGACCAATTTTTTAAAAAGCATGGAATAGAACAGACTAGAATAGAAAATATCAGAACGTGTCATACATATCAAGGATATTTTTTTTTGTGAAGTTTTTGTGTCAGCTCTATCTGTGCATATGCAAAACTTATCTCTGTCTCTGGATTACCGTTGTGGAAGTTGAAAAGTACTCTTCTAGATGATGGCTGGTAGGTTATTCCTGGGCAGACATACAAACAGTGCAACTGTTTTGGAGCAGCATAGATGATTTTAACCATACCGCATTGCACATGCCTCATAGTTTGCAGTTTTGCCTTCAACTATCCTATAATTTTCATTAACTTTTAAAAAATATCTTGGCTACAACTTTTTTTTTTGCCAGCTATGTTGAGTCCTTAGCATCTGTTTAGAGGTCCAGAAACCTCCACAGCAACTCCAAAGATTGGTGGGTGGGTGGGGCTCTGACCTTCCCTAGTCATCCCAAGAGGACTCTTAAGGGCAAGGCTGAGGTCACTCACCTGGGGATGGTCCATGGAGCTTAGTTTGTTGAATGAATGTTTATACGAAATGGTTTTACCAGTTTCACCATTTTCAGAAATAAGGGTCCCCAACATGCTAGTTGACATTACATGTTCATCTATCTATCCACCCACCCAACTACAGGAGGGAGAGTGGGGGCATGACGATGCATGCATATTTTACCCTCCCAATGATGGGGGAAAAATCAGAGTAATTATAACTCTGTACAGTGGTAGTTCTGCAAACTACCACAGCTTCCCAGGAAGGCTCAAGTGTTTTAGTTTGAATTAGTGCTGAACTTGTTTTAACTGGGGCATCTTTATACCTAGAGCACTTCTACTTTCCATGACACAGAAATAAGACAATACCATTTAAGTTTCCACATGTGTACCAAGAAACATGGATTGATAGTGGCTGTGAGGATGCTGAGGCCTTGTCTCAGGCACAGCAGGAATGATCACAGCGATCAATAGGAAATTATTTGCTACAGAAGGGAGGCGAGGAGGGACACATGCTATGTATTTGCCATTCCCCTGGGAGGACCTTAACTTATTAATGGATCTAAGGGTTAAAGTTTTCTGCTTTCATATATCATTTATACAGAAATTAGAAAATATCATTTATAACCTCATTATTCAAATAACTGATACCATTTTGATGTCTCTTTATAATATTTTTCCATGATTATATATACTTTATGTGAGTATATATAATATTATAGATCTCTTTTCCCCCTTCATATATCACATGTCCTTCCTAAGTCTATATTTTTCTTTCCAGAATATTAAAGGGGAACATCACAGACCATCATCATTGATTTAATTAATTCCCTGTTGTTAGACATTTGGGTTATTGCCAATTTTCCATTTTTACAAATATTTTCATAAACATTTCTACAGCCAAATCTTTGTGTTCATCCATGATTCTATACTTGGAATGAGGAATTTCATTTTTCCTATGGAAATATAGGCCATGGTTATTTCCCTTTCTACATTCAGATGCCATTATAGTCCATTATAGAAGACTACTGCCCTATTATTCAAGAAGAGAAATTATCTTATCTTGGCCTTGACAAGAGAACGTTCACACATAAGCAACTGTGTGGTCTAGCAAGAGAAGGGCAGGCACAGCTGGGACCTGGCCACCTGCTCAGCTGTTTCCAGCTTCACCCCAGCCAATGCACAGGAAGGACTCTGGGTGAACCACGGACTACTGGTATCTTCTGTTTGCCCATCTTAAAAACAAGGGGGTTAGACTTTATTCCTTCTATCCACACCAAACCTTGGAATGTGGGCCCTACAGCACGAAGGTCACATCTGCCCCATCCTGGAAACCCTGGGTAAATAAACTGAGTGAGTTTGGAAAAATTTAGAAGATGCAAAGTTTCCATTTGTGAGGCATTGTGAGAACGCCTCTCTCTCCCAGCTGGCGGCCCCCTAAATGAAGCATTTCGCAAGCTGCTCAGGGCTTGCTTAATGAGGATGCCAAATTACACCACCAGGTTTTTTTTTTTCCCCCTTTGGTGCCATCGCTTTTCCTCCTTATGCCGATGAGAATTCACGGTGGCATGAAGATATGTGTTGGTGTAAATGAGAACTTTGTGATATCCAGGGAGAGCCTGATATAATGTCCAAACTCTACGCAAAATTTTCAGACTTAAAAGATTACTAATAATTAAACTCCAAAGGAAAAAAATGGCAAACCCAGGAAATGGGATAATTCCACTGATATTTACTCACCTGGTAATAGGCATCCAATTCATTATTGAGGGAATAAAAAAATAATACGTACCCAACAAACGGAGGAGGAGAAAAAGAACTCCCAGGGCGTAGGACTTGAGTTCAGGGCTGACTGTCCTACGTGCAAAGAGATAAAAGAGGAAAAAAACAGATTCTTATCACTCCACTTTAATTAACAGACCCCAGAGTCATTCACTGCTGTCCATCAGAGCTCTTCTTTGGAAAATTACTAACACTGTTTTTTTTTTTTTTTTTTTTGGTTTCCCTGCCTAAAGACTGAAAAATAACTGCAACTGCAGTGCCAAGATAAGTTTAGGAATTTAACGGTGTTTTTGATAACTACAGCTAACCTTGCCAATTGAAAGAATGCAAATTTGGTCATAAAGTCTACATTTAAAGACATTTTGCATTTGCTGGGATGACAGGGAAGCATCTTAACTTGGTGGGGCATGTTAAGTATCAAGGAAAACATCAACTGAGAAAATCATTCCCTTTATGCTTCACAAACGGGCTGAAACCACGAACATCGTTGCTGTTCTCGGGTCATTTTGTCAAATCTGCCACACTAGCATGGTTTGACAACCCAGCTGGACCATTTGGGAAATAATCCATTCATCTGTATCACATTTCAGGACCTTTTAAATTGGAAAGACACATGGTCATGGTTCTTTGTTTTGAACTGATTCAATACACTGGCTTTGGTTTACCCAGAAAGTCCCTTAGAGTGATCTTCTCATATACTGTCTAGAACATTTCCAGAGTGTAACATTTTCTGGGATGAGAGTGATAGCAGAGAGGGTTTTGGAAATAATGATGGACTCCAGATACATGGGTCCACATAGTGGACAACACATGTCCTCTGTAATGCCTTTTTCTTGTAATTATATTTATTCAATGCTTGCCTTCTCTCCTCAAGGCCAAGGACTATTTGTGTTGTGTTCATCATTGTGATCTTAACCCTAGCACAGTGTCTGGCACCCAGCATGTGCTGAGTGAATGTGTAAGTGGGTGGATAGGTGAGCAGATGTCTCCCACTTACAACTGGGAGCAGCCCTACCTCTGGCTTGGTGGGGAAGCCATGTAAAGGGAGAGATATTTGACCACATGTACATGTGCTTCTGGTCATCCTCAGCACCACTGTCAGAGAGCCCGCCTCTGTCTGTCCCTGTCAGGAGTCCCTCGCAGAGAAGGGCAAGTAAGCACACTGCTATACCCCGTGGAAGGCTTGGCAAGGTTTAGAACCAGGCCAGTGTGGCTGAAAGACCAGGAAGACTCATGAGATGCAGCGAGGGCCCAGCACTCAATTCTACAGAAAATACACATTAGGGAAAAGTTATCAACAGGATAGCCAGTGCACAGGATATTTAACCTATCTATGGACTTGGTGGCTAGAATAATATTCTTAAATGATCATTCATCCAACGGCATCTACCCAATGAGCTACCACTTGGTTTGAGCCTTAGGTGGGCACTTCTTTGGTACGACAGGCCAAAAGAAACCATCAATCCAAAAGGAGGTGGACGTATGCTATAGATTGAATGTGTCCTGCCCAAATTCGCACATTGAAACCAAACCCCCATGGTGTTGGTGGGGCTTTTTGGAGGTGATGAGGTCATGAGGGCTTTGCCTTTGTGAAGGGGATCAGTGTCCTTATAAAAGATACCCCAGAGGGCTCCCTTGCCTCTTCTGCTATGTGAGGACACAGGTAGAAAGCACCATCTATGAGCCAGGAAGCCCTCACCAGACAATGAATCTGCCAGTACCTTGATCTTGGACTCCTCAGCTTCCAGAACAGTGAGAAATAAGTGTCTGTTGTTTGTACCACTCGGTCCAGGTATTTTGTTATAGCAGCCTGGACCTACAACAGCATAGTTTTTACTGTCTTTGCTCCCATTTCTAAGATTTTCAGGGAAAACTAAAAATGTGTTATTCTTAGAGAAATACACATTTCTTCTCAATTAACAAGAGTACAGTACAGGTAGTAATCCCAGGCAGGAGGTCACAACTTTCACTGAGCGATGGGACACAACTCTGGCTGATTAAGCCGGACCCCAGTACAGTGTCCGTGATGAGATCAGTGTCTCTGGACAGAGGCACAGTCAGTGCTCTTTAGAATGTGCGCGTTACAAAACCCAAGCTCTTCAAAGTTACGATCAGCTCCAGTTTTTGCACATTTGTTTGAAGGTACCGCCTTGATACCGACTTGACAGACACATAAATAAAGGCAAATTCTCCTTATCAAGAAAACACACTGGTATGATGAGCTAGAATATTTATCACTTGAAATTTGATTTCCTTTAGGCTATCATACCACTAGGAACAAAGTGAGCAAGGTGCTAAGATCTCCCTTCATATCCTGCTGGGAAACTGGTTCCTACAAGAATCATCATCCTTCTCAGCTTTAGTTATGAAGAAATGGAGCACCTTGTCTGAATGATATTGAAAGTTCCAGGCTATGCCAGAGCCAGCTCTGTAATGTGCTAGCTGTGTGACCTTGAGAACACTGCTTAATCACTCTGAGCCCAGCACACAGCCCAACAGGTGCTCAGTGAGTGTCAGCGTTTATCCCGGCTTCCAGGTGTTCGGGGCTCAGTTGTTGGCAAGTATGCTCCTGTCTAGGGTGAAAGTGGGTCCATTGTTCTGGGACGGGGCAGGGGCTGGTGCACATTTGGACTGCAGCCCAGACTGTTTGTGCCCCTGTGCCTGCCTGGGACATCTGTGATGGCAAATCAGACCAGGAAGGTGACGGAATAAAGCCCTGCCTTGGCCCTCTCAATATGCATGACGCACGAGCGTGTGCCTCCTGCACGGCATGGAGTTACAAGCCCAGGTCATTTAGGCCATCTGTTGCTGACCCGTTTAAAGGGAATCAAGTATTTTCTGAAAAGCTCCAAAAGCTGTTTATCAAGCTGAGATCTGGAAATGATTAAGATTCCAACAGACTTTGCGCATTTGGTCGCCAGTGACCACTAGTGAGTGTCTCGAGGCTGGGTTTTTGTAGGGGAGTTATGGGGTGAGAAAAAAGGGGACTAGTCACTGCTAATAGTTGTGAGGTTCAGGTCTCATGCTTCTTGGTGCCTTTTGTGTGTGAATATCACAATGTAACTTCATGAGAATTTCTAATAATGAAAAATAAACTACTCATAAGGCAGCCACCCCAAACCCATATGTGAGATCTGATGGGTTTTGTCCAAATGCATATTATATATAATCATCTTCTCTAAATGGTTTTAAATTCAATAGTTCTTTTCATAAACACTTTCACACACTTAAGAATTTTCATCATTCCACCGAGTTGTAATACCATAATTTAACTCACGATTCCAATTCAGGTTTCTCTATTATAGTTAACATTGCAAGAAAAATCGGTCTGCATTGAGCTTTTTTTTTTTTTCTTGTAGAGAAGTATTTCCTTAAGATAAATGGCACGGGGTAGCATTACTGCATAAAAGGGTCTGAATATTTTTATGGCTCTTAACCCATATTGCTTTTTTGAAAGGAGCGATAGGTTTTTCAATGCCATCAGCAATATGTGATTTTACCAGTTTTGCCATAGTCTGGTAAGCGCTGGGTGTGAAATTTAAAAAATTTTTTTAAACTTAAGTATGAAACGGCAATTTGCCATTGTACCCTTAATGCTTCTGTGTATTCACAAAGCCTTGCTAATGACCTTTTAGGTAACACGCATACTTTGTATAAATCCTCTTCCGTGGGAGTTCGTAACAGAGCCCAGGAAATGCAGGCAGGGCGAGAGGAAGGGAGAGGCTGGATGAAGTAGCTGGTGACATACCCTGGCACAGGGCACTTCCAAGCATTTCACTCCTACTGTTATTTCTAGCCCTTGGTATCGAGTTGCTGTGAAGCCGCCTGGTAAGCTTTGCTTTGTGTGGCGTGCTTTCCTTTGATCCAGACGGGTGCTGGGGTACGGATCCATTCGCTTTTAGGTTCCCTACACAAACCTAGATAACTGTGTAAATGATAAACGTTACTCAGAATAGTACTAATGGTTCATTTTTGAGGCACCTCACCTGCCCCCAGGACAGGTCCCCAGAGATAAGTAATGATGGAATCACGGGTGGACCTCTCCGATGACCTGTTTGTACAAAAGTAGTCACTGCTCGCCTGCCACGAGCCACTCCGCACAATAACCCCAGACGTTTCTACTGTGTCTGCAACACGTGGTCTCGGCAGGTCCTATGTCACTGAAGGAGGCAGGTGGGTCTAGCAATATCACTTTCCGTTACAGATCAGAAACGAGTCTGGGGGGAAATGTGCCCACAGTCACATGGCTCGGCAGTGGCAGGGCAGGGGCTGGGCACTGGGACATGGCTAGTCCAATGCCATCTTCATTTTATCCCAAGAACACTGCTCCCTGGAAAGATCGACACAGGATCCTTTATAAAACGACCTGCAGGGTCTATTCCTGGGAGGACACAAAGGGCTGTCGTCTCCTGCCCTGCTTCTTCCATTGGTGTGGGGTCCCTATCAAACGGAAATGTGTCCTAGCAGCCTTGAGAAGCTGTGTTCCCTGCTGTAGCCCTGCCCCACCTGGCTTGGGAGACCCATGCGGCATCTGCAGGTCTGATCCTGCGTGCCATGTGGAGAGGAGGATGGGGAGGACGACTCTCGGGCCCTGGGGCTGTGCCGATGGCTTACCTGATGAGGATGATGACGGAGGGTGTCTGGGCCATGGCACCGATCATGCTGCAGATGCACATCACGCAGAGGAAGGTGAGGAAGGCCTCCTGGCAGCCGGGACTGGGGCACTTTCCGGGAACCACAGTCGCGTTCTCAGGGGGGACGGTGGTGAGGCACGCACAGCCCGTGAGGTTCTGAAAGGGAAGCGTTCAGCCCTTTTATCTGGGGGTATCTCCAGTTTCCAAGCGCAAAGCCATCCATCAGCCCAAGCTGTCATGGCTTAATTATGCATTCTGTGGCGTTCCATTAATTAGGCCTGAATAAACGAGTTAGCTTTTTAAGAAGGCTGCAAAACATATGCAAATAAAGGAATATTTACAGGGAGGAGAGCTGATTTCTGTCTCCCGTGTGTTTCATTTCCATTCTCAAGAATCCCTCAACAAGCCGTACCACAGGCCAATGTGTCTCCCCAATACAATTAGAGAGGAAATTGCGCTTCCACAATATGATAAAACATTGCCAAATTAACACTGTAATTACTTGCCAATTTGTCCTCTCTTTTATGCAGTTATAATTACACTGAAGTGTATTAAAAGAAGTAAATCAGGTAACCCGCATATTGTTGCTCGTTCAGTGCCCGACGTGGCACTCGGAACAAAGGATGCGCGCTGTCACGTGCGCAGTCACCGTGCCTGCGAGGCCGCGAGACGGGAGCTGATGGAAGGTTCTCCAGAGGCTGAGGAAGCGAAGACGGCTAAGAGATGCCAGGGAGCTTAGAGCAGCTCGTGGGGAGCGAGCTGCAGCCTAGCCAGACGCGTTTATTAATATATGATCAGAGAGAGGAGGAAGAGCGACTGTATTCCATTTGATCTTCCGCGCGGATTCTGGCCCCCCGCCCCGTTCCCAGGCACGGGTCCTCGCTCACACTCGCTCGAGGAATTTCTGATGGCACAGGGAGGAACAGGGGCAGTGCCCAGCGCCAAGCCAATTAAGGTTCCATAATAGTGCGGAGGCTTTAATGAATACAGAGTGAAAACAATCATAAATGATTCATGGCCTTTCTTTCCTGGACTGCTCGGCACGCACGGTGCACAGCCAGGTTAGTCCTCCTGAGGGTCAGACAAATCCCCTCTGCCCTCCCCTCCGCCTCGGTCTCACCCCCCACCCCACTTCTTTTCCTTCCCCACAGAACACAGATGGGGCTTTCTTATCTCATTAGGCTACATGGGATGATTTCAGGGGTGTCTAAAAGCCTTTGTGGGTCCCCACCCCCAACAGGGTCAGCGGCCTGGTACAGTTGTGTCTTCCCCACCCCCGACGGGGGCTTCTATCCCTGGGGCAGGCATGGGAGAGACATCACGTGCCGGGGCTATGTCCTTTCTCCTGAGTGTTCTGCCCAGACCAGTTGCCTTTGTGAAAGTGAAAGTGGCCCATTACAGTGGGGGATGGGGAACGTGGCACTTACTGTTATTCCCAGAAGATGCCGAGGTCCTGCCCCTCCGCCCCTTCCCACATACTTCTGCCTGGAGTTTTTTTAGCTCTTCCAAACCCAGTGTGGATATTACCTCCCTTCTCAAGCCCTGCCCTGCTTCGCCCCTGAGCCCTGCATGGCCTTCCTCTAGGGTCACTTCACCCTCCGCTGCGGAGACCTTTCCCCACCTCCCGGAGGGGACAAGAACCTCCTGGGATGAACATCTTTTCCTAGCACAGAGATGCAGTGGATGAAACTAAGCAGATAGTTGTAGAACGCCTACATGAACAAATCTGCCTCTGCTTTTATTAAGCAGAACTTCTCCCCCAACTTTAACAGAAAATGCCACTCCTCCCGTCCCCAGGAGAGGAAACCACGCCCCCATCCCAGCTGCACAGCTGGCTTTCCTAGCTGTCTGCACTCACTGCCCAGCTTCCATTCCCACTGCACGAACCAGACACTGCGGAGCTCTCCAGTGATCTCCACATCCCAGACCACCCCTCATCTCCCCCATCTCCCTTGCCAGGGCTCCCAGGAGCTGCGCCCCTGCTGGCCACCGCCTTCCTCAGCTCCCAGGGCTCTGCTCTCCTGGTTTCCCTTTTCCCTCCTGGTTGCTCAGTGTCTGTCTTTGTTGCTGGCACCCTCCCCCCAGCCCACCTGGTCTAGTCTCCCCTAGCTCTTCTTTGTTCATGTTGTCATCTCTATACCTGCTCAAGACTCCTGAATTTAACCTCTAGGTCAGATCCCTTCCCAAGACTCAACGCGTGAGTTGCGGTGCACAGACTGAATGGCCCGGGCCCGATCCTGTGCTGCCAACTTGGCACTGCTGTCCCTCCTGAGGCTGGGAACCATTCCCGGAGTTCTCTTTCCTGCACGGATGAGCGCTGGACAGGAGGGGAACGTGGGTGAGGCTTGCAAGGTAGGAGCTGTAGGAGACCAGAATATGCACCCCACAAATATGACTGCAGGAGACCAGACTAAGCCCCCCCACAATATGCCTCTTTAGCATAAAGAATATTTTGAGCTGATTATTTTGAGAAACTGCAGTCACTGGAGAACCTCTGACAACAGAGAACTTACCTTTTTGAAAGGAAAATTAAATTTACGTCTATAAAGGAAATCACCATTTGTAAGGGGGTCTCCTCTCTGCACAGGAGGAGAGGGATGATTAAATCCTTAGACTCTGACCACTCTGGAAAGCACTGACTTACATCTGCACAACAAGCATTGCTCTTGCATAAGGTGTTTTCCTGCATAACTCCCATGACTGGCCTTCCCCACACCCTTCTTTCTTGGTTCCAATGGACCGTGGTATTTAAGCCTGAATTCCAAGCCACCTCTTTGGGAGTCCCTCATTTCTCTGGCTCTCTCCCATGTACACATGAGGTATGCACATTCACAGACCTCTGCTCTTGTTAATCTGCCTAATGTTATAGGGGCCTGTCCCAACTTAGAACTATGAAAGAGAGTGAGAAAATTGCTTTCCTCTTCTACAGAGAGAAGCAGAGACCCTTATTCTCAGAAGGTCACACAGCCAGGCATGGGTGGGACATCCACGGAGGTGCCCAGCAAGTACCTGTCTGTCCCAGCACTCCCACTTGGCACCTGTCATCTTTTCAATCTTCTCTGCTGACCAACGGAGTCCCCACGCCCTCCTCCTGTGACCTGGCTGCAGCCTGCTGACGTGGTCCCCCACATCCCAGGGCACTCGTCAGGTCTCCAGGAGCAGCCACAGCAGCACAGCATCGAGGGACATCCCTCCAAGCTCCAACCTGCCCACCTGTGCTGACATTTCGGGGTGGGGCGAGGAACTGCTTCTCTGCTTCTTCTGAACACGTGCGGGGACTGAGTTCCAGACCAGACTCTGACAGCCACATCCCCCCAGCCCCAAACTCCTTTCCCTCTGCATCTCTGACCTTAGTAATAACACCCTATGGACTCACTGGAAACCAGAAGGTAATTCCAGACCCCCTCCATCCCTACAGCAAATCTGTCTTCATCTGGACTTCAAGGCTAATGAAGATAGCACCGCAGCTTTGTTCCCTAATTTACCCCAGCCATACGGGACAGAGCTTGGCTTATAGCAGGTATTCAATACATATTTGCTGAATGAATATCTAAGTCCTGTTCATTTTACTATACCCTAAATATCTCTCAAACCCTGCCCTAGTTCCAACTCCTCCCACCATCCTTCTCTCTTTTTATTGCAGTAGTCTGTGAGGGAGAAGAGGTTTGGAAGTGGGGTCCTTAGAACCACACGGACTCAAAGAGTAGCCAGGTATAAATGTAGTGGCTTGGGGGTGGCTGTGGCCTTGTTTGGCCAAGCACTCTAGGAACAGAGTTCTGACTCAGTCTCTCAGGAACACCCAGGAATGTGATGTGGACACTGAACTTCCAGGGACAGAACCCTCTGAATGAGCCACGTGATCAGTGAGCTTTCTTTGGTTTAACACGTCATCTGCAACTGGTACCCACCTCTGGTCTTATTTTTGCCCCATACCAAGGCTGCGATTTGATCACATGATACTTACCATCGAGGAGGAAACTGCCTGGCCCTCCCTGCCCTAAGAAGTGGAAAACTCCTCCTGAACTGAATCCTGAGATCATGGCAGTACTGGAGTGGGATAAAATGAGACATCTTTATCTCAGACTACAGCTGGCACAGGGACTGTGCAGCCCTGTCTGGGTGAGCTGGATGTGTTCACGAATTCATTCATGTGAATGCGTGAGCACACGTAGGGTTAAGCTGCTGTGGGGTTTGTAGCCAAGGGTAGCAGTGTTATGGTCTGAATGTTTGTATTCCCCACCCCACTCCCACGCAAAATTCTTACGTTGAACCTATTCACTAATGGTATGGTATTAGGAGGTGATTAGGTCGTGAGGTGGAGCCCTCATGAATGGGATTAGTGCCCTTATAAAAGAGGCCCCGGAGAGCTCCCTTGTCCCTTCTACCATGTGAGGAAACAGCTAGAAGGCACCATCTATGAACCAGGGAACAGGCCCTCACCAGACACTGGATCTGCCAGTTCCTTAGTCTTGGACTTCCCAGCCTCCAGAACTGTGAGAAATACATTTCTGCTGTTAATTAGCCCCTGGTTTATGGAGTTGTGTTATAGCAGCCCGAATGGACTAAGACAGGCAGACCCGGGTTGAGTGGATAGGACTGAGGCATCTGTAGGGTTATGAATGCCAGAAGAGAAGCTGGAGACTGGCACAGGCCCAGGGAAGACATCTGCTTGTTGATGTCCAAGAAGCAAAGCTGGAAATGGATGAGTCCATCCCAAAGGTTCTATGCAAATTTGTATTTATTTATTCCAATTTAATTTATTCAAAGAGAGCTGTGAAAGAGGCTGGGGAGGAGGTAAGCCAGATGATCTGACAAGGACTTGGATGGGTTTCCTTTTGCACCAGAAGAGTCGATCCCATTGGATTGGCAGGGATGGGTGGGTGGTCCCACGGCACGGGGGCAGGTTGAGACAACCCGGAACCTTTCAGGCAGGGAATCCAAGGGAAAATGCTGAGGTTGTAGTCAGATGGCAAGAAATGGAAAGCTCCTAATAAAGGGGCTTAGGTGATAGAAGAGCACAGACCTGCTTGAATGCTGTGCTGAGGGAGCTCGGAGGACTCTGGGTGAACAGGGTGGTAAGGCTGTTAAGGAAGAATCTTCCACTGTCTGAGCATGGGGGGAAGTACTGCAGATGAAGACCGTGTAGTTTCACTTTT